GGCATGAATGAGTATGGACTGATTTTCGACGCTAACGGGAAAATATGCCTTGTGCCATATTCAATCTTGTCGGGCTCTGACATTGCGATCTGTGAGGTTTTCGTCGGCGATCGCATCTTGTACAAGCTGTCTGAGGGCAGCCTGGCCTTCCTCGCTATGGAAATCACTACGCTGAGCCAACTCTTCTATTCTCCTCCTAAATTCGGGGTCGACTTCGTTCTCGTCATCTTCGGCCGGGTTGACGGTAGTGACAGAAATATTGAGTCCGTTAGGCAAGAGTGGCACACCACCGTCATCCTGCACCGGCGCGCCATTCGTTCCATTTAATAGACCCCGGGCGCTTGTTGCCTCTTGGAGCCGAAGGTACTCGGCAACTTCGGGAAATTCGCCCTCCTCGGTGATCTTTTGACGGGCGGTATAGCCGTCGGATCCTTTAATCATAAGCCCGGCGCCGAGCTCCTCAACTAGGACTTTGGCAGCATCGACAGTCTCAACAACAAACAAGGCGGTCTCGTCATCCTCGTCGCGCAGGTTGACATCAACTCTGAACTCCTGGACAAGGGCACGTAGGAGATCCAGGTGGTTGTAGCTGGCAGCGGCGTGTATCAAAGAGTAGCCGTGCTCGTCTTGCTGGCTGGCTAGAGCTGGATTTTCGCGGAGGAGGGGCAGAAGAGCTGGACTGTTGTCGGCAGCAAGAAGGAATGGGTTGGCGGGCATTGTGACGGTTATGATGATTCCGAATAGGCAGGTAGATAAGGAAAACGGTTGACTGACTTCAAGTTCGAGGCACTACTTAATGAGACGGTGTTATATGTGCAAATTCTGAGAGGCTTTAGTTGAATGCTCTGATGCGACAACCAAACTACCTACTTTGTTTTTTTTTTTTTTTTGGAGGGGTTACTACTACCTACCCCGCCAAACCCGCACTGAGGGGTGTCATAGGGCACTTAGCGGAGAGTTACAGCTGAGACCTTAGGTAGTCCTGTATCCACTGAACAACCGCTATCTATCTTGCAGGCCTCCCAAATGATTCATATCTCATCGAGGTGAAATGACCTTTCTTTAGCTCTCCCACCACAAGACGCCGCTACTTTACCGTTACAGGCTTCAGTATCTTACTAAGAGATATCTAGGTCGCCAACGCCCTACCTAGTCTACCAGTCGTAACAATCTTGCATGTCCTGTACCTGCAGGATGTGCAAGTGACTCATGCGGGCAGCGAGAACATACCTGAACAAGGGGTGGTAATCATTTTCTATCCACTCCCATTTGCACCGTGTGCTGTGTCTGTGTTTGTGTGTGTGTGTGTGCGCGATAAATACACAGACTGCAAACACAACGTCTCTTTTGGCCTCTTTCTGTACTCCTGCTCAAGGCAGCTAACTCTGTCTTACCGTTTCCCTTCCATAGAGACATACATATATCAGAGCACAGCACAGCACAGCATAGCACACGCCACCCACTCACCCAGAAACAAGAACAATCGGCTGACTTATTACACTCATAGCTCCTTTCTTCATTCGACTTCCTTTACATCCACCACATCTAACACTACCGGTAGACTCATTACCGGAGTTTCGACTGCTCATCACATCCATCTAGCCCTGCAAATCGGCCTCCCACTTAGAACCATTCGGTTGTTCAGCGATTCACGTCGCAGTTATCAACTCACCATGAGTCTCCCAAAACCCCCTTTTTGTGAGCAGGACCCTCAGCAGAACTCCCAGCTAGTTCGTTCTCTGAGCGATAAGAAGGGCTTCAAGGTCAAGAAGACGACTTTCAAGATCGCTGGGTCGCCCGATGGCATCAGTGTCGACTCATGGCGCTTCCAGGACTGGGATTACAAGAAACCTCATCTACCTACCCATGCGCGCGGCCTCTTCACCACCAGAAATCGCCGTAATGATCACGAGATTGCCGTGAGGGGATATGACAAATTCTTCAACGTTGGTGAAGTTTCCAATACGCAGTGGGATAACATCAAGCGCAATACACGGGGTCCATATGAGCTCACTTTGAAAGAGAACGGTTGTATCATCTTTATTAGCGGCTTGGAGGACGGCACCCTGCTTGTTTGCAGCAAGCATTCAACCGGCGACCGAAGTGATGTTGAGGTGAGCCATGCCAGTGCTGGAGAGAGATGGGTAGACCAACAGTTAGCCACTCTCGGCAAAACAAGAGAAGACTTCGCTCGGGAGCTGCGGAGAAGAAACGTCACAGCAGTTGCTGAACTATGCGACGACGACTTCGAGGAACACATTTTGGCTTATGGGCCGGATAAAGCCGGCTTATATCTTCACGGTATCAACGTTAACATTCCGGAGTTCATGACATACCCAAGTGAACAAGTTCAACAATTTGCAGAAGAATGGGGTTTCCGAAAGGTCGGTCTGCAGATGTTTGATGACATAGACACTGTCAAGAATTTCCTTGAACAAGTCGCCGAGTCCGGAGCACACGAGGGTCGAGATGTTGAAGGCTTTGTCATCCGCTGCGGGTTGGCACGCGATCGAGATCACACTCAATACAACGATTGGTTCTTCAAATACAAATTCGAAGAGCCATATTTGATGTACCGACAATGGCGAGAATGCACCAAAGCCCTTATTGCCGGAAAGCCTCCCAAGTTCAAGAAGCATGCCAAAATCACCGAGGAGTATTTGCTTTTTGCCCGTCAGAGGTTGGCCAAGGACCCTAATTTAGCTAAGCTATACAACCAAAACCATGGCATCATCGCTCTTCGGGACGAATTCCTCGCATACAAAAATCTGAAAGGCTCCGATGCTGCTAATTTTGAGAGCGTAGCCGGAAATGATACCTCAAATGTGTCAGGCGACGTTGTCCTCGTACCAATTGCGACAATCGGATGCGGGAAAACCACCGTTGGTGTCGCCTTAACCCATCTATTTGGTTGGGGTATAATTCAAAACGATAATATTCAAGGCAAAGGCCGTCCCGCAAGAATGGTCCAGTCTGTTTTGTCTCTCTTAATGGAGCATCCCGTCGTCATTGCCGACCGAAATAATTCCGAACGTCGAGAGCGAGAACAAATTATCAAGGATATCCTCCTACAGCACAAGGACGCCCGACTCGTTGCTCTGAATTTTGCCCATGGTGATATTGATGAAGTTAGAAGAGTTACGAGAGAGCGTGTGCTGAAGCGTGGAGACAATCATCAAACTATCCAGGCGGCATCGGATGAAAATAAGGTTATTGGTATCATGGAGAATTTCCTGTCCAGATTTCAACCTTGTGATCCGGAAAGCAGACCTGACGACGGTTTCGACCTCGTCATTGACCTCGATCCAGCTCAGGGAAGCCGAGTGAATGTGGAAACAGCAGTCACCGAGCTCCACAAGAAATATCCATTACTGATTCCAAACATGCCAAGTGCAGAGGATATGGACACAGCCGTCAAGAGTGCTATTGAGGACTATGTACCTGGCGCAAAACACAGGATACCCGATCGAACAAATAAAAGAGAACAGAAGCTAGCAGAGTCTCAGCAATCACACGAAGCCAAGAAGAAGAAGAAGCCGCTTGAGTACATGTCTATCTCGATCCCTACTAAGGAGGTCAATGTAGCACTTGAATCGGCCTTCAAAAGTGTTGATCCACAGACACAACGGTTTTACAAGCAACTGCAACAGACCCGACGCATCCAAGCTCTTTTCCACGTCACACTGATGCATAGGGCTTCGGCGAAAGAGCATCCTGAACTATGGCAGCGCTACACCACCCTCACAGCCGAGAGCCAGTCTACAGATGACAAAGTGGGTGAGTGCGAAGTCATGCTTGAGCGCGTCGTGTTCGATGACCGCATAATGGCTATCGTGGTACGGCTGCTGGATCAAGAGAACAAATGGACTTGCGTCAACAAGGTGGCGCACATCACGGTGGGTACACGTGATAGTGGCGTCAAACCCAAAGAGAGTAACGACCTCCTAGCACGATGGCTCGAAATTGGAAGTGGAGGCGAGACTGGCATTGGCGAACGCATGTTTGAGGGGAAGCCAACGTTGAAAGGAACCGTTCGTGGCGTACTATCTAGATAGCATAAGGGTGGGGCAAGGCGAAATCATCCTAGGCGTTCTAGAGGAGGGGGGAATCGGGACAAAAGAGATACTCATTAGACAAGGTGCAGTTTAGGAGTAGCAGCCGGGTGCTATTTTGTGCCTCAGTTGATGGGGACCCGTCCCAAACATACATCTCATACTTACTCTACTGTCCTCGAGCCGCAAGCATGATCAACTGCCTGTTAAGCCCGAAGGATACATGATATAGGCTGCATACAGCTATTGGTCATGTCAAGACTACTGCCCATAGCCATAACTAGGAATTATGCTATCTGAGCTATTATCCAGGACGAGCCACAAGCTTCGATTTTCTCCTCGATATCTAAGCCGAGGCTATTGTATCCTAAATTCAAGAATTCAAGAAAATATGCAATCGATATTGCCCACACTGATAGATAACAACGGCTGATGCATCTATGTTGGGATTTAATATCCATCGCATGAGGAAACCCATAGGGAATTCGTTTTCGCATAAGGCGTATAATGTTTGCTTCTCCTTTTATAGCTTCTACTACCCATAACGCAAGCGTATTCAGCCACTCGTTACCGATGAAGAAAGAAGCCTCAGCTACAGCCCATCAATAATCTTACTGCCGAGGAGCCATTTCTATTTAAGTTTAGTTTGATGTCGCGAGGGATCTTTTACCTACTCGCCCATTGGCGACATTAGTCTGGGCGAGTATCATGACTCTGAAATCTCTAACACATCTATCTATATGGACTCCATCATCCCACACCAGCAACCGGCCGCGCTACAATTCTACAACCCTTTGCAAACTCGACGAGGAGAAAGATATTTAAGATGTAGATAGCAATCACTTGGACTCTACAACTAAACAAGAATAGCCTCAACCACAACGCAAGCCACCACTCTCACAGACATCATTCCTAAAACTGAACCACGCTAAAAAGTTATCACCCGAGTCTCGATTGGTCTAGTGGTAAGGATACCTGCTTGTCAAAAAAAACGGATGATGGACTTATCGTGAGATTAGCAAATCGCAGGTGGCCGGGGTTCGATTCCCCGATCGAGAGCTCACATCTTCTTTTGCTTCTCCTTGAAACTTGTTTCGCCTCTCCTCATTCCTTTTTGGTCCTGACTCTCGTGTAGTTATTTATGTCCGTCTGCGTCAGGGGGTTCCCCTAGCTAGGAAACAGCTCCTCTGCTCAACTACAAGGTAGAGTTAGTTTCATTGCCGGCAATGTTCCAATGAGCTATAACTAGATGGTATGAGGTTGTTGAGTGTACAATTAGTTAACCTCTTTAGAGTAATAATGGACACTCAGAGAAGCGGCGAGCATAGATATGTTGACACATTTGGACAATAAGTATTTACATTTAAGTAGCAAAGTATAGGGAAATTTCACTTTGCCGGTTCCTACCGCTTGAATCGACACAATCATACATACAGACTTATATTTATTTATTTCAGTCAACACTATAATATAGGTAGGGCGTTCGTAACTTGAGCGAACGCACTCCATTGTTTCCACGCTTCGCCGCTCTTGATTGTCCACCTTGCCCTCCTAACTCCCTCCTTCCAGCGCCCATTCCCCGGGCCCCTCTCCGTGATGACTTTTCCATCATCACCAGGGCCCATGGCGCTCGTGTCGGCCTCGCAGATGCCCGACACAACAAATAGGGCTGCCGTATTCATGAGTACGAATTCGAGGATCGGATCATCATCAGCTAGTTCACCCTGCAGAATCTTGCGCAGAATTTCCGCATTTTCATGGGGTTCTTTGCCTGGCGATACAGTGCTGAGTGGGTGCGCACTAAGCCCGAAGTCCTTTGGCTCGAGCAAGAAATGCTCGACCTTGACACTTTTATCATTTCCGCCTTCAACCAACTGCCAACAGAGAGTAGGCCCGGCGCACGAGATCTCGTCAAGTTGCTCTTGGCCGCAGACAACTAGACCTTTCTTCGCACCAGCCAGTCGTAAAGCCTCTGCGAAGACAGAGCCCAGATCGTCGCGCGCAACACCTAGCATACGCGCTTCGATAGCGTCGTCGAGCGGATTACTTAGGGGGCCGAGGAGATTGAAGATTGTCCGCCATCCGAGCTCTTTACGGATGGGGGCGACGTGCCTCATACCCGGGTGAAAGACGGGGGCGAATAGGAAAGCGTAATTGGTGGACTGGTAGACGGTGGAGATGGTGTCGGGGGTGATACGGGCGAGCTGGGCAGGCTTTGGCTGCATGTTCATGAGCAAGTCCGCAGAGCCAGACTTGGAGGTCGAGGCACGGTTGCCATGCTTCGCGAGGAGGAGCAGGGACGAGGCGAGAATGGAGGATGTAGTGGAGATGTTGAAAGTGTGGTGGGAGTCGCCTCCTGTGCCAACAATGTCACACTGCGAGGCGTATCAGTATTATGTCTGTCTTCAGCGAACTCCCCGCCTTCGTTGCCACCGGCGCCACCGGCACCACAACCCCTCCAAGGGATACTCACCAGTCCACCCAGGTATGTCCCTTCCGGTCGCTTCCCCTTTTCTATAGCCTTCTCTAGTTTCTGGAAGTCGATTTCTGCCGCGTGACGGCGCATAGCGGCAGAGGCCTCGGCCAAGACATCAGCACGGCGGTCCCAGCCTGTAAAATGTAGAGCCGTTAGGAGCGAGCCGGTTTGAACGGGGCTCAGCTTATTAACGAAGATCAGCGAAATGGCCTCGGCAATCTCGTGAGCCGTGACCTTCTCCTTTTCGGGATCCGGCCATAGGCGCTGGAGTAGGGGGCGGATATCGACCAAGGCTTGCTGGTCTTGTATTGTAGCAGCCATGTTGTGTTGTTGATGTTGTAGAAGCTACCGAATTCGGAGATCGGAGGGAATGAACGTTCTTGGGCAAATTATTCTATCTTATAAGTTCTCTCCGTGTTGCGAGGAAAGTCTCGAGCTTGGAAAAGGTAAGATCAAAGCCGGGAGGAAACATAACAATGTCCAAAATAACTCAATTGGCCGGCTATCTCAAGAACGTAAGCTGCAGGCTCATCCTTTCCATGATATTCGAAGTGGCTCAAGTAGGCAGTAAAAAAGAAAACCCCAAGCTGTTCCCAGTGGTCTTGCTGCCCCGCCATGTCATTCCAATGCTCACCTCTCTCAGATGGAGGGGCAGGGGCAGGGGCAGGGGCAGAGGCAGGGATACCTAGATGCAGTTGGACAGTCGAACTAGGGTACAGCAGTACTTACAGTAGCAATGGGTCCTTATCGTACCTACAGTTATCGATTGCAGCGATGAAATACGGCAGATTTTTATCACTTAAGAGATTCGAAACCTCCGACCTCCGACGCTGGTCCCGTCCCCGGACCAGGCTTGACCCACCCTAGCCCGCCATTGAAGGAAGCAAGCACGGTCCAATTATTTTCATCCAAGCTTTTTGCGACGGGTCAGCGGTGGTCTAAAAGAGAGCAACGGCCAACGCGCTCGCTAATTCGACGATAACGACGACGACACTAGGGTTGAGGGAGAGGAGGTCCGGGAAAAAAACAGATCCAATAGGGAAGGGGATACAAAACCAATTGCCCATAATGCCACCACGGCTCAATTGCTCTGCGCGCAGCAGCGTAGGCCGAGCTCTACAGCGAACGACGACAAGCTCGACGAGAGTACCGGCCCTGATAGTTCAAAATGCGACGAGGGCAGCTTCGAGGCAATATGCGACGGCAGTCCCCCCAGTGCCTCTCGCCGGCCTAAGGCTACCCGACGACTATATCCCTCCCACTCAACCTCCAAGTGCTCGGCGGCCCGAGCTGAGAAAGGCCCAGCTTCTTCGCTCATACACAGCAATGCTACGATCGACGCCTTTGATGCTCTTCTTCCAACATAACAACCTTACTGCCGTAGAATGGGCCGCCGTACGACGAGAGATGCGTGCTGCCTTAGCACAGCTACCACCTCCCGTTGCTGGGCCCGACGGCACTGTCCCAGTCGACATCACGTCGAAGATTGAGTTGCAAGTATTACGCACACGCATGTTCAATGTCGCCTGCAAGGTTGTCGACTACTTTCATCCCGAGGCCCAGGCTGAGAAGTCAAATGCATATACACACGATCTGTCCAAGACAGCCTACGAGTCGATCAAGACGGCGACCATCGACGAGTCGTCCCCCTACGCCCAGATCAACCCCTTGATAACAGGGCCTATTGCTGCTGTCAATTTCCCTTCGGTTTCGCCGGCACATTTGGCAGCCGTCCTCAAGGTTCTTGCGCCATCTCCCCCGGCATACCCTGCTCCCCCGCGGAAGAAGAACCCCGGATACTACGATCCTATTGCCCAGAGCGGGTTCCACAAATTGATCCTTGTTGGGGGCAGGATAGAGGGCAGTGCTTTCGATCACGATGGCGTCAAATGGGTTGGCAGCATTGAGGGCGGTATCGATGGACTGCGGGCACAACTTGTTTCCCTATTACAAAACGCTGGCCTTGGTCTTACGACAGCTTTGGAGGGCCACGGCAAGGGGTTGTGGTTAGCTCTCGAGGGCAGACGGACGCAGCTGGAGGAAGAATCCAGCGGGGGCAAGCAGGCGGGCGAGCCAGCGGAAAACGAAACCAATGTCTAACGAGCGTGTACTATTCATCTATATATGCTCTGGAGCAATGTATAACAGTATACTTAGAACTAACAAATGTACATGGAATCCCGTAGTCGAAGCTAAACCGGTATACCCACCTACCCGAGCAAATGCTTGGTTACTGGGCAAAAACCGGTCTAGAATGAACATGATAATGACCATATTTCCTCCAAAGCCGTCCTAGGCTGGTGCATGACGTTATAGGTAAATAGGTAATACCTGTTATATATGTAATACCGATTGTTCTCGGTGTCCTGAGACATGCCATCTCTGCACCTGCAGTACCTATTCCGGGTGTAACATGCGCTAAACTGGACCCTGCATAGTTATCACTAAAATGGCAAGCAGCAGTGGTTTGCGCGTTTGCCCAGGCGGGTACCTAGGTAACTACCTAGGTAAGTAGCCAAGCAAGTAACAACGTCGCATTGATGAACCACCAAGTCAGAGCTGAGAGCTTGCAACACTCGCAACGTCACCCTTCCCCAATCCTCGACCGCCGCATGACCGGTCAAGGCATTTACGGCAGGCAGGCAGCAGACCATACACACGCCTAACCTAGAAACTATTCGATTCCCCCTTTTACAAGTCCTGATGAGCAGATCGCAAAAGCTGCATTAAGACCGGAGGAGTTCCAGGCATCCTCCCTCTCAGACTACCTACTGTAGGTAGTTGTCGTCTAGGTATCAATCTCTACAACTACTCAGCACTCAGCTCAACAGCTGCACAAGACTCCAAGGAGCAAGCGAGCAAGCAATCACACACCCATCCACCCTCGCAATGGACTTCGCGCCGTACCAGAGCTCGCCGCCCGAGCACAACCGCCCGTTCTCCCCGCCCGCCGCGGACGGCACCGCGTCGCCGCGCGCATCGCTCGATCAGCGGCGGTCCTTCAGCCCCTCGCAGCGCAACTTCGCCGCTTACTCTCCCCCGCCTCTACAGCACCCGCAGCCTCAGCGCTCGTGGCACGCGGGCTACACTTCGGCGGAAGAAGGCTTCGGTGGCGGTGTCGGTGTTGGTGGTGGTGGTGATGCAGGCGCGGGCGTGGGCGCGGGAGGGATAGGACTGGGCGGCAGCGGCGGCGGAAACGGAGGGTTCATCAGCGAGTTCGACACCAGTCTAGGCATCCGGCTCGACTACGAGGCCGTGCTTGCTTATATCGGGTTACCGCCGCTCGGCGCCATCATTCTGTTAATTCTAGAGAGGAAGAGCGACTATGTTAGGTGAGTGCGGATCAGGTTTCCTTTATCGATGGACTCCTGAGCAGTCGTGTTGCTGTGGGCTTCGCGTTCTTGCTTTTATAGGTCCAGTGAGGGAAGGGGAGGGAGAGGAGATAGAGAAGTCTCAAAAGGGGGCATTTAAGCTCAATAGTCTACGATCCCCCAACGCTAACGTCATACATCCAGATTTCACGCGTGGCAGTCAAGCCTCGTCTTCACTGTCATGTTCATCCTTCACCTCCTGTTCTCCTGGT